TATCCCCGCTGCAACATTACAGTGATATCATGGCTGTCTGTACTCAGCAACAATTCAGTTATATCGCCGCTGCAACATTACAGTGATATCATGGCTGTCTGTACTCAGCAACAATTCAGTTATATCCCCGCTGCAACATTATAGTGATATCATGGCTGTCTGTACTCAGCAACAATTCAGTTATATCCCCGCTGCAACATTACAGTCATATCATGGCTGTCTGTACTCAGCAACAATTCAGTTATATCCCCGCTGCAACATTACAGTGATATCATGGCTGTCTGTACTCAGCAACAATTCAGTTATATCCCCGCTGCAACATTACAGTGATATCATGGCTGTCTGTACTCAGCAACAATTCAGTTATATCCCCGCTGCAACATTACAGTGATATCATGGCTGTCTGTACTCAGCAACAATTCAGTAATATTCGGCGAACTGTACTCGGCAATTGTATAGTGGTCAAAAAGGTTTTCCCATGTATAGTGCGATGGTTTAAAGTCTCAAATTGAAATGTATCATTGTACCAAGAATATTATCATGAAAATGCTTTTCGCCAGCTGCAATAACTATAATTTAATGTGTCAGTCAATATTACATTCACATCACAGTTCTCAATCAGTCAGTATGGACAATGATTCCCGTCATTAATGTAACAGGCTGTTACAGTTTTCAACACGTGAAGTTTAATTAAATAAAATTAAAAACATTTCTCGCACGTACCAGAATAATGAGTATTGTTATCAGCTCTGCCGAGTAAAGTCTTCAATATCTTGCACCAGCGTTGGTCTGATAATAAACTCTGAGGCAACGTTATTGTGGCAGTGTGACGCAACTAAGCAGTGGTCGTTCGAATTGCACGAAATATACAAGGCTTATTCGAGAAATGTGGCGAGCAATGTTAACTCTAAAAGGCCAGACAACCAGATGTTTATAATTTCATCTCAATGCAAAAGCCAAGCTGTAACAAGTCCGACAAACCACGCCTCGGGGAAAACGATGGATCTGTCTTTTACCTCGCAGTGTGACGTTGCTCGCTGATAAAACATCAAAAGAAACATGTTTTGGCAAGGTTTTCAGCAAAACAATCAAGTTATAGACCGTCCACATAGTGACCTGTCATAGGAGCGACCAAACGTGAAGTACAATGGATTCGAACCACGCACCACCCACACAGGTTTCAGCAAGCAATCCTTCCTGCCCGTATCTTGGGGGAACTTGAATGCCGAGACGAGATTTGAACGTTCAGCCATGTGCATCAATGTCACATATTCGCTTCTGAACGTGTAAACAAGTCATGCTTATGCACCTTTTGTGGAGTGGCTCATTTGCATGTGCCAGGTGCGCTGTTCTTGATTGTTGCCATGCCGTGAAACATTTATTTTTTCATGTAATAACAAGGAAACGAAATAATGAAATAAACGAAGCGTGATAGCTGGACTATTTGTTAAATATAAATTGAATTTCCTCTCTTTCAAAACGAATACTTGTGGTGCAGGGTTTCGGTTTATGAATTTTGTTAGATTGAGTGAAAAAAGGCAGTCAATTCACATTTCTGAAATTTTGAGTCGGTAGATCATGACTTTCACAAGGCCGTATTACCATATGAAATTAATTATTCTGAGAGCCGCGCAACAGAAAAGAACTTCTTCTGCAACGTTGAGAGACGTTGTCGTGGTTGTCGTAAAGAATATAGCTTCCGGGTTTGATACATACAGTTAACAAACGGTAAATAAACGGAGATTGAAAATGTAAGGTCAAATCAAATGAAATGTTTCAAATCTACAAATCTATGTGCGCTCGACATTAAAGTAAGATTAATTCACAGTGAGCTTGCAGTTGAGCTTGCAGTTGATTGGCAGTGGTAAAGGGGCGGTGGGGTACCTTGGTTAAAGCGTTGGCTCGTCACGCCGAAGACCCGGGTTCGATTCCCCACATGGGCACATGTTAAGCTCATTTCTGGCATATTGCGCTCTAAAACTAAATCATCTCGGCGGCATGGTAAAGGCATACATAATTTATAAAACAATCACAGGCCGAGAGCTGTCGACTGCAAGCTGGTTAAACGATATTCAGATACATGTATAAGGTTTTTGATCGATGGAGAATTACCGCATAAATATGCATAGTCCCCTTTCGTCAAATGAAGTCCTTGGTTGTGGGAGTCATTTCAAAGAGTCAAGATATCCTAAGATGCTCTATGAATAATTAAGGTTTTGTCAAGCAAACCAATGGCTGACAGTCAAACACCTACCGCCGTCGCGTATGTTGACGTGCAGCCCTCGAGGACGGACATCCTACATGTGGGTATTCCTACAGACATAGTAATTATTGGGACATAAATCCGTCTCACCCCTCTAACCGTAACCACCATCCTGTCCCTCCTCCACTTCCCCAATTCCTGGTCCAGACAATTAGTTTGTTTACTTATACATACACTATGCGTGCAAGAACCACATGTGCACATGAAGATTGCCAATTTCAGGAGTTTTTATCGATTTGTGTCTGTTATGCTCGCATCTTCTGACAGACCTAATCGCTTGTACCGGGACGAACATATGCATGCAAAACTCCTTGCTGCAGGCGGATATAATCGACGTGGCATTTGATATGAGTACATGTCCTGAATGAACAAGCGAAGCACAGTGGCTCGTTTATGGCATATATACTCACCCACGAACGCACGTACGCACATTCGCACGCGTAGGTGTACTAGATTATTTATTATCATATATGCATGAACATGCACACATACACGAATGTAGGTGTGCAGATGCACAAACCAGACCTGTTATTTCCAGCCTAGCTAAATTATGCGTGTTTTATTCACAAGTTTCCTGGAATATTTTGTAAACCCAGCCCGGGGTTCCTGAGAACAGATGTGACACTGAACGTGCACATCTCACAATGCCGTTGTGACTATAGTTTGGCATGAAATGCACGTGGACCCGGTTTTTTTGTAAATATCTCTTCATCCAATGACCAAATCGATCTCAAACTGTGCAAGTGGATGTTTTGTCAGACAACCTAATCACATTGTAAATCAAAGATTTTATGCATTTGTATTAAAGAATCTGTCTATGTTACTGTCAACAAAATAAACAGCAGAACGCAGACGGCTTGCAGAGGGAGGGAGCCAATGACCTGTAACAGCGGCAGTTTTGGGTCATAAAGGTCAACGTTCGTCAATGTAGGTCAGCTATGCTGATGACCCTGATGTCAAAAGAATCTAACTTTGGATGCATGAAACTAGCATGAACATGTAAAACTTTTATTAACGAAGACAATATAATATAAATACGGGCTATAAATCGCCAACAACTGAAGGTAGATGACCATACTAGGAACCATGCGGACTTACATTACTTTTGCTACCTGCATGGACCCTAGTTGGATGTACACTATCCCTTCAGCAGCTGGCGATTGTAGGACAAGTTTAGCCAAAATTTAAATGAACAAATATACTACGTTTAAAAATCGGGTAAGCAAAAAGTGAACTGTGAAAGTTTTGGGACTTACGTACCCTTGTGGCATTACAGACGCGAGACTGTGACATTACAGATGCGAGACTGTGTCATTACAGACGCGAGACTGTGTCATTACAGACGCGAGACTGTGACATTACAGACGCGAGACTGTGTCATTACAGACGCGAGACTGTGACATTACAGACGCGAGACTGTGACATTACAAACGCGAGACTGTGTCATTACAGACGCGAGACTGTGTCATTACAGACGCGAGACTGTGACATTACAGACGCGAGACTGTGACATTACAGACGCGAGACTGTGACATTACAGACGCTAGACTGTGACATTACAGACGCGAGACTGTGACATTACAGACGCGAGACTGTGACATTACAGACGCGAGACTGTGACATTACAGACGCGAGACTGTGACATTACAGACGCGAGACTGTGACATTACAAACGCGACTGTGACTGTGACATTACAGACGCGAGACTGTGACATTACAGACGCGAGACTGTGACATTACAGACGCGACTTGGGACTGTGACGCGCGAGACTGTGTCATTACATTACAGACGCGAGACTGTGTCATTACAGACGCGAGACTGTGTCATTACAGACGCGAGACTGTGACATTACAGACGCTAGACTGTGACATTACAGACGCGAGACTGTGACATTACAGACGCGAGACTGTGACATTACAGACGCGAGACTGTGACATTACAGACGCGAGACTGTGACATTACAGACGCGAGACTGTGACACTACAAACGCGAGACTGTGTCATTACAAACGCGAGACTGTGACATTACAGACGCAGGACTGTGTCATTACAGACGCGAGACTGTGACATTACAGATGCGAGACTGTGTCATTACAGACGCGAGAGACTGTGTCATTATAGACGCGAGACTGTACAGACGCTAGACTGAGACTGTGACATTACAGACGCGAGACTGTGACTATTACTGACGCGATTACAGACGCGAGACTGTGACATTACAGACTCGAGACTGTGTCCATCTTGACACAAGAGCACTTTATTGGACCACAGTGACATAAACGAGACCAATCTTGGGTTAACATGGTATAATCAGAATTAGTCTCCGTGCAAGATGACACAAGCGAGGCTAATGCTTCATACACATTGACGCAAGCCAGACTAAGCACGGCTTAACATGACATTATTGGAATTAGTATCTGTGCAAGATGACAAGCGAGGATAATGCAAGATCCACATTGACGCAAGCGAAACAAAGTACGGGTCACCATGATATATAACTTAAATTAAAATTTATGAAACTGTCATGATGCCTTGCAAACCACACACATGAATGAGTCCTAACCACGAAACATCCACACAACCCGTGTCATATTGTAACAGCATAACCTGCAAGTACTGAGAACAATTAACCGACAAGCAACAGATCATCAGTGAAATAACTCCTCGCATCAACTCCCGCATTGATCGTCAGCTGGTCGTTACTGACAACAGAAAAGTACATACAACTGATACTCACAGTCAAACGCACGTTCGGAGTGCACACTGCCGTCCACGGCAATTAACACCGTCTTGTGTCCACTCATTGTATGCCCCAGGTGTCGGACCGTCCGAGACTCACAGCCAGGAATCAACACACAGATGCAAGGAAATCAGACCTTATGTCCTTGACCTTCAGAGACCTTGTGAAGGTTGAAGGTTGTGTGGACGTTAGAGCGGAAACTGATGATAGTGATATATTTGTGTGGCATACTGTCTCGGGAAGCTGTGAGGTTACGGTAGATGGTTCTGGAAAGTAATTATGTCGACATTGACCACACAGGTGTCCCCGGCCTGCGTTCTGCTGCTGGAAGCAGTTGCGTGACTGTCGTCGTATTTCTGGTGCAGTAGCTGGATCCAGTTTATCAGGTTAATCGAAAGACATTTACTACAACCACTGCAGGGTAGGACGAAATAACCCGGCTGCTGCCATTATGTTGTAATCACTCATGGTTTTGTATTGGTCACAGTGACCTCTTGAAATGACCAGGCGTGTAAGAATAAACGTGAGAGATTTCAAACATTTTAATATATTTATTGCATGCAAACAGTGCCCTCTCAAAGTATTCTGTCCAACTTGTGAGCCGATAGTGTAATGGTATTTTTCTAGATGAATTTATTATTTACTTGTTTTACTGAATTTCAATATTTTATTGATTTAATCGTATACCCAAGATAAGGCGATCTCCCTGACAGTCGCCTGTGTTATAGGAGCCCCCGTTTCCACCATCCATGGGTCACTATTGTGTCTGAACTCAGGCCAGCAGTGTATGACAGCTGTATGTCTGAATCAATCAATCCAGCAATGATAAGAGGATCGATCTCAGTGATAATTGTAAATGGAGAGTGGTGATTCACAAATAGCCAGATAATGCATTTTCACTGGGCTCCATAAGCTTGCAGAACTTCAGCCCCGGGGACTTGTATAGTGAAAAGTTATATATGCATTGAAAGTATGTGTAGACTGACTGACTGACTGACTGAGTTTGGTTTTACGCCGCTTTTAGCAATATCCCAGCAACATCACGGCGGGGGACACCAGAAATGGGCTTCACACATTGTGCCCATGTGGTGAAAGTATGTGTAGACAGGCTGCACCCGCATATATGCTCGTGAATGTAGAGATGTTGAACAATAACTCAATTATTTCCCCACCGCAAGCACTTTCAGGAATACACGATATATCTCAGCTTGGCCTCATACTTAACAAACATTGCAGAGTAACCAAATACGGAACAAAACCCTTTCGATAATCATGAACAGTGACGGCAATGTCAAAGCCCAGTCTCCGATTCCAGCTACACCATAGCAGAAGGATAGCTGACACATAGTGATGATAATAGGTGTCCGATGAAGAGTATCCTGCGTCAGCGGTTGCACAGTCACAAACACACGCAAAGACAAGTTAATTGTTCATCTGAAAACAACACAGGAACACAGGATACAAGTCAAAAATGGAACCCCATCAAATCAGGAAATGTCCAAATGACTAATTTATTTTTAAAGCTTTACTAAGGCCTCTCTTGAATGTTGTAAATCTCATGTAAAAAGTCCGAGAAATAGAGAACAATCCTCATTAATGCACACCCCACCCCAATAACCGCCAAATGTGACGCCAAAGGGTTTTAAAGGGGAACAGAGTATAAATCATCCCAGATGTCATACAAGCCCGTGGATCATGTTACAAGTATGCATTCCTGCCGCCAATTTGATTAAAATTTTATAAAAATGGCTTAATATCGATTTTTAAATATGAATATCAGGAAAACGGAAACAACGGAAGCTATAACTACAATTGATAACTTCACGGGATGTCAGTAGAAAGAGTTTATTACAATTTTATGTATTTTGAAACCTGGGAAGATCCGGGTTAGAGTTTGTGTTGAGCAACCCAGGCCTGTCGTAAGAGGCGACTAACGGGATTACGAGGTCATGCTCGCTGGCTTTGTTGATGTATCATTGTATCCCAATTGCGTAGATCGTTGATCATAATGTCAATCACTGGATTGTCTGGTCCAGACTCGATGTCATACAAGCTGCCGTCATACGCCTGGTATATGTCGACGTAAAACAACAAAAAACAATTATGTGTTTTGACATCTTTTTGATACCGTGAGCGTTGTCGGAGACATTTTCCCATTTATTGGTCTTCTATTGAATGTGTTAGATACGCAGAATACCTACAGTGGAACCCTTAAAGTCCGGACTCTGATAATCCTCATGGTTTCACGAAGAACAGTTCCGTCCAAGTCCGTTTCCTTGAATACAAACAAATACACCATAAACTATTCTTGAGAAAGGCTAGTGCGTGAGGCAAAAAAGTAGTCTGATTAAATGTGTATCCCAGCAATGAAGTCGAACAGCCTGTAGACGGGTGTCAGTCTTACAGTGAACGAGCCTCTGCAATACCGCCACAAAACCCTAGTAGAGTGGACTTTACACATTCAGGTCGTAAAGATGATATATCCAAAGATATTTTAGTCGTTTTGAGAAGATTAATTTGTCAATTGATATAATACATATTTCTGTCATTAATCAGAGACCATATAATAGAATATTATATGATCTCTGCATTAAGTCTTTCATTTATTAATAAAACTGATAATGAATCAAAGAGGTGAAAAGCACTCGGTCGTGGTTTTGGTTATCGATCGTACTAAGATACCTGTAACCTGATCAGGGCCTCGTCATGTTGCGACCGCTCCCTGACATACGGTATTTGTATCAGCTGCGAGGGCCTCTCGAGCGTGACAGGTGACCGCAGCTTAACCCCATAACCCATGAGGTCAAGGCCTATATTGTGGACTGTGTTTTGCACATATTATATACGCGACATCTTCAATCAAACATATCTTTTTGTGAAAAAGGTCGTGTCACGCGTCCTAATAAGCATTGTAAATGAGGTAGCGATTAAATTACAATATACATTATATAAATTATACACAACTAATATGAGAAGTTATAATATTGTTTCAAATTGCCAAATTAATATAACAGGGTAGCTGATGTGACAATAATTGCACATACTTCTCAGAAGTAGGGATATATTCTATATTTAATGGACATTGTTTCAAAAAGTCCCGACGTATCACAAAATTGAAATGATGATATTAATTGAGGTTTTCTGATAGAAATATCGACATAAAAGTTACAGTATTTGCTGAAAATGTCAAAGGGACAGATAAATATGTGTGTCGTGGAAGCCTTGCTTTAAAACAATAACATAAATGACAATATAAATCGCTTTATTAATCTTGTAGCAATGTACTGAAATAATATCTTAAAGAAATGCAGCTTCAAGATTGCATGTTTCGGCGAATATTTTAAACTTTATATGACAAATTCCTTGAAATAGAAAAGTATAAGGTTACACCAGGGTATAACACCTTCTGCCCATGAACAGCAAGGAATGGCAAATCAATTTCCGACATATTTGAACCCATATTTATGCTTCCATTATTAAAAAAACAACGGCCTAGTCAAATGAATACATATGTACTTCAGAGCATATTAATGAGCGGCGCACAAGGACACACACAAGTAATTTGATGGAACAGACACACACACACAGGTGTACGCTACCAAAGCGCTTACAGAACAGTGACATGACATTGAACGCATTTACAAAGAAGGCACTGAGTGGTGTTGAAAATACATTGAGGGGATGGAGGCGACACTCCTGGGGGATTGAGATGGTATAAACCTACAATGGGTGCACTTGTATTAGTGTCCGGGCAAATGATACACTGGGGATGTGGTGGGAGGGGGTGGAGGGGGCAGATTGGGGAATGGCCGTGGGAAGGGAGGGGTTGGTGGAATGCATTTTAGAAAGGACTGTTTGAGTTCGGGCCTTGCCGTATTGTTTTACAGGAAGACCTACATACCAAATAAGAGCAGACTGAGATAAATGTAGGGGGCAGTTCTTCATCAGCGCAATTTTGAACTGAGACAAACTTCTGGAATCAAAGTTCTTGAGACTGAACGAGTAGCGTTTAATTTTCGGCGGATTCCCCAGAGAAAACGTAATGTACTGGAGGACCTGTTATCGGACTTGCAGTTATGAAGGAAAAGAGAGGTATTGATGTTGACAATAATGAACCAAATAGTACCAACACTCACCATGTAGGGTACAACAACTGAAAACACCGAAGAATCACTGAAAGTCAGTATACTGGATATTGCTGGAATACTTTGCTTTTGTGAGTTCTTAGTTTTCTCCTCTTTTATTCTTCGTTTTGCACGAACACAGTTTTTGCCGTTTGACGAGCGGCGTGCGTGTAGCTGTTGAAGATGGATCAGTTCTTGTTTTCACACGATATCCCATGAACAAAAGCATAATATCACCGCAGTTGTACTGATGGATCATGTCCTTGAAACTGCGACAGTCCAAATTCTGACATAGTTGACAGGCGGGGTTGGCAGCTGTTCTCGTAGTCTGATGTTGGTGGCAGTTTCACTTTCGTTGTGTTGTGGACCCAGGATGGATGGATACCGACAGAGATCTGCTGAAAAGATTCCCTGCTGAGAGGTTCCGACCCAATATATCCCGGGTGTTTATGGTTGGGTTCAAATACAATAGTCTATCAGCGAGTCCACACTACTTTATTCGAGCTCCTGTTATACAATTACATAGAAGTACAGCCAACGGGGAGGCACCATCATACAGGCGATCGTCAGCCCCCCTGCCTAGCCACTGTCCGAGGGTCAAGTCCCTCTTACAATAAGCATTCGACGACTGACTGTCAGGTCGCCCTGTATGGTCAGCCTGCAGTAGCCACCCCCTCGATCTAAGGTTAATTACATGCAGCTGACCAACACATGGCTGTGCTGATGGTCATGATAATAAGCTGCTGTTAGTTCATTTACATTGACAGCACTGTGAAGATTTAGATGCACAACTTTAAGTTAACTCATGGAATATACCAACATGTCTGTACTCATAGTTATCCCGCCATACCATCCTACATTTTAATCAACCATGTATTTTAACTACTTGAGCAGACTCGAGAAACCGGAAACAAAATGGATCGCTTCATGACGTTGGCGGACTCACTGACGGTACAAACTGATAACATTGTGCGTCTTCTTCATCTGATCTCCCGAATCTTGTTGGATGGAATACTGGACTGACCTGGGACATGTTACAGGGTAGTTGTCAGGTAACTTGTCAGTTTGGTATGGACAGTAGCATTGTCCTGACTCAATTATGTACAGGTCGCTGTGACCGCCTCTGTGGTGTAGTGGTTAGAGCGTCCGCCCGGAGAGCGTCATACCAAACGACGTTAAAATATGGTACTTGTTGGTCCCTGCCTGGCGCTCGGCATTAATGGGTAAACAAGGACTGGTCGGCTCGGAGTCAGTATAATGTGTCTGAGTGGGGTATCCATGCTTCACTGCGGCATGGTATCTCAGTGGGCTAGCACTATTAAACCAGCTTAAGTCTGGGCTAGTACAAGCAGCCGCACATACACAAACACACGCATGCACGTCGTCATATGAGCGAAAGATTCTCAAGCACGACGTAAAAACCAATTTCACCTCACCTCACAGGTCGCTGTGACAGAGTTAGGACATCTATGTGAAGCGTCTGTAAAATCCCCCTTCTTAACACCGTGAACCATGCAATGATTAGTCAGTTTACAAAAAAAAAAGAAACAAAACAAAACTCCGTATTGTTAAATCTGAGAAAATATTTATTATATATACATCAAAAGGACAGCATATAGTCGTAAGTCTCTAGACCATAACTAACAAATATAACACAAAGGTTAATGATTGCGGAGTCTGTATGGCAGTTAACCGATGGATGTGCATAACAAAAATGGCACAACCAATAAATTCATGGTTATTTGTGTATGTTGCTGTTAACTGTTTTCAGGTATGGTGAGAAATTGTAAATTAAATGAAATCATTGTTCAATGTTTTCCGGGAAACTACTAGTTTAGATTTAATGACCAGAAAAACTAACAATTACATTGACAGCACATGCGTGCTGGATTGTATAGATGTTTTGTACAAATTTACTAATCGATTTAAATTGTTCTTTACAACGTCTTGTTACTCATATGACCTCCGGCACGACAGAGAAACATACGGTGTGTATTTCTATTCCACGAGATACGATGGGGTGGCCTCACGGTCAAGGTGTTCACACCTTAGGCCTGGGTTCTACTCCGTGCATAGGTATTTTGTGTGAAATCCAGTTCTGTTTCATTCAGCTGTGGTGTTGCTGGAACATTGCAAAATCATACTCGCTCACTTAAGATATCTCAAACACTTGGAAAAAACCTGACCTTGGTTGTAACTTTAAGACGAATTACTGGTCATATAGGAACAAGATCGTAAATGTTTAGGTGGTTTGATGATGCCATTTGGAGCTCTTCAATAACGATTGTAATTGGTATGCTCATTTGTCGTTAACTTCTGACACAGGCTTTGACTATGTCTCTTTGGTATGCATAGCCCTGTCGCGAACATTGGAGCAACGACGTATATACGTCTTTGATGTGACCAATCACCATCGCCATTACGAATGAAGCAGAAGCTGGAAACTGGCAATCAGTCATGTGTCTCTTTCAGGTAAGTTAAACAGGGATACCCCACTCGGACACGTCATACTGGCTCCGCACCAGTCCCTTATCCTCTTAGGGTCGAGCGCCAAGGTAACAACAATCACCATGTTTAAACGTCTTTAAGTGTGACGTGGTCGGGTTCGAACCATCGACCTTCCGCTCTACAGGCAGACGCTCTGTCTACTGGACTGAAGTAGGAGACGAGCACAGATATTTGGAATTAGAAAGGTGCATATATAGTTGTTGTATTTGATTCAGTTTGTATACCATACCAGAATATATATCTTCTAACAAAATGGGTTAGCATGAGTTCAGACACTTTCTCAGAAAATAGTCAAAGGTGAATAGTGATATCTACAATATATAAATACACATAACATACAGGACATGTATAAATTATTCATAAACATAACGATATTCTCTGTTGTCTTGTGAATGAGAGACGTGGCTTGAATAATGTTACGATGACATGAAGGTTCCCTGGATATGTAATGAAATCTAAATGTTCATCAAGTTATTTCCCCTTCTTGTCTTTGCAAACAAACACGGGAATGTGCGCGTGATGCACGATGTACTGACTCACGCTGCCTAGCAACGTCTGTCTCAGCTTGCTATGTCCACGGGTACCCGTCACGATGCACTCAGCTTCCTCCTCCTCCGCCAGACGCACAATAGCGTTCCCGGGACTCTTGTCTGCCAGTCTCACCACCCGCCCGTGAATCTGAAAGACAAAGACACAGTTCGATTCTTTATGAAACGTGTATGTTGTGAAATGGATGCAGTGTTTTTCCTGTGATTTCACCCGTACAAACTTCCATGTACCAATTTGGTGCAGCCTCATTTTAAAAGGTGAAGTTGTTGCAATACCTGGTGATTGGCATTAAGTGGCTATTACAATGACTGGTCGGAGCGGAATACAGTTAATGTGTCTGCAGCATGGTATCTTAGTTGGTGGCCACGGTAAAACCAGCATCGTCCGTTTGGCTCAAAAGCGGACCGATGAATTGCAATCTAACTCGAAAACTATTAAACATTTAGTACTCAATGAAACACTGATGATAATCAAAACATCAGACCAACTCTGTGATTTTTTTTTCAGAACTCATGTCATAAAAATAAAAAAGTTGTTTTACAAACTATCATTAAAATCTTGACACAGTTCACTATTTGTTACGAGGGAGGGGTGCAAAGAGAGGAACAGCCAGGTGTGCAAAAAGGTTAATGAATCAATGACTTTGTCGGCACTTGTGCACGTGCTTCCCGTACAACTGGCTGTTTCCTTCCTTTGCAGTCCTCTCTCGTAACAAATAGTGAACTGTGTCAAAATTTTAATGATAGATTGTTAAACAACTTTTTTATTTTTAGGTAAAAAATTCTGCCAAAAAATCACAGAGTTGGTCTGACGTTATGATAAGTGTTTCATGGAGTATTCTATGTTTAGTTTTTTCGAGTTAGATTGCAATTCATCGGTCCGATTTTCAGCCAAACGGACTATAGTACAATCACGCACATTCGCACGTGCATGCATATGGCGATATAAGTGCAATAATCTTGAACGAGAAGTTAGACACTAGTTCACTTCACCACGACATGGCCGGGACCAGCATTCAGCAATGTGCACGGATTATACAAAATGTATGATCTCAAATGATCATATTGAATAACCTTCTAAAAGTTAAATAATCCTAAACGATCATAGAAACAGTGAGCGAGTATGGTTTTACGCCGCTTTTAGCAATATTCCAGCAACATCACGGCGGGGGACACCAGAAATGGGCTTCATACATTGTATTCATGTGGGGAATCGAACACGGGTCTAAGGCGTGGCGAGCGAACGCTTTAACCACATGGCTACCCCACCGCTCCATTTTAGAAACTGTCATGATAGTACATTACATAATTATCAGTCACAAGATTTGTAGTTAGCTTGTTTTTTAACGTTTTACTTCAGGGTTATTTGAGACACGTGAGAACGGTCGCATCTGTCTGATCCGCCTACCCCAGACTGCTCCAGACAGGTATTCAGGCTCGCGCAGACGCTCTGTATATGATCCTCCTCTTTCCGGAACTGTTCGGCAATCTCCGTGGCGTCTGTGTGGAATGAAAACACTGAAAATAGAACAAGAAAATCGTTAGTCAACCCGACCTGTACACTGATTAAGAATAGGAATGTCCCTTCCTCGCCGAGTAGAACAGTTTGATTTGAATCAGAGAATACCACCTTGATGTAAGGAGCTTATATCGTGTGGGACTAGTCGGATACCAGCCAAGTCGGGAGTTGGCCATGATGGAGATTGGTCAACGTACGTCAACCCAGGGCTAATGAAAATATCTCTCTCGACCATAATCATCTTATGCTCGTAGTTCTTACACCGTTGTATTGAGCTGGCGACCGGCAGATATGGCTGCAGATTACATACATTACTGTAGTCAACGCTGCCCGAATATTTGGTTACAGTTCCTGTTCCGGTGGGTTCAGACACAACGTGGTAGGAACCGGATGTTGTGGGGGTAATGTCGCAGGTTCGGGTCTCTTATTGTCCGAGACAAATATTAGGAGACGGAGTTGTTTTAAAAAGCTGTTTATTTGCCTGTAATTTGAAAAGACAACATCATGAAATGTTGATATCTGTCTGCCATCGTCCGAGGCTGACAGGTGACAATAGGTGAATTCAAATTGTCCTGACGTCACAGGCAAAAGCCCGTGAATTACCTGTGCGTCAGATACAGGTAGCGCGTACAACTTATTATTTGATACTTGAGCAGCAGCCGCAGGAGGGAATAAAGGAGAAATACAACTGCCGGCGACAGTAATGTTAACTTTTGGATGGCCATTACTGATCACCCATCTCCATCAACCATTAACCAACAGCATCGCCAACATTGTCTCTCACCGTGACCTCCATCCAGCAACACCATTATAGTCGTCAGTACCGATGGTGCAATCTGTATCGTACCGCTCTACGAGACTCACGATATAATGTATCGATTTACATACAATTCATTACATTGATGTGAAAACATATATATTTTTATGTATGATAACAGAAACTGTCCCAGAACCAGTTTATGCAGGTTCCCTGGCGATTATAAACAACAGAATCTGCACAGTGCCAACAAGGTTATACGTTTCTCCACCACAATATCCCATCTTTGCTCTTTGAAGGCTAAAAACAAACAATTTAGGATTGTGATTTACCAGCAACAAATGAGAGAATATGAAGAACTTTTGAAATATACTAACGAAAACAAGTAACGGGGCATAACAAAAATTGCATAAAATAAAAACATATTTGAAAAGTTATAAAAATAACAGTAAATAAACACGTAGCAAGGCGCTTTGCAGGAATTTGATGTCACGTATCGCGCGTGGTACGTGCACTTTGTACACAATGAACTTACTCACTTTTTGCATGTTTTTGACACCTGATATTGAAAATTGAAGAACGGTTGATTCTCTACCATGTCATGCCATGGCTTACAGAAAATCAGTGTCTCCGCGCTGTGGGCATGCTGGAGACTGGAATGGCCCAAAATGAAGTGGCCAGACGCTTGAGTGTCCATCGAAACACAATTTCATCTCCATGGAAACGTTTTCGACATAATGGGAACAGATTTGCCTCTGACAGGCCGTTCACGCGTGAGGTCACGTCAGAAAGACAACCACATTCGGCTGACCCATCTAAGGAATCGGTTCCAGACTGTCAGGGCCATTCCTGGCTTATGTCCAATCAGTTCCAAGACTGTACGGTACCGACATAGGGAGCACAACATCCGGCCCCGACGGCCTGCAATACGTCCAATTTTGCTCCAAGGTCACCGACAGGCACGTCTTGCCTGGTGCAGACAGCATCTACGGTACATCAGACAAGCTGTTTCGTTCACTGACGAGTCGAGATTTCATCTGGACAGCTCAGATGGTAGTGCAAGGGACAGCAAGGTGAACGGTATGCTGACGCGTGCGTTATTCAACGTCAACAGTTTGGTGGCGCGGCGTTATGTTATGGGGAATAATCACATCACACGGTCGGACACAACTTGTTATTGTCAATGGCAATCTGACAGGTCTGGGATACAGGGATGAGATCTTTAGGCATCATGTGCAGCCGTTGATTCAATGACAGAGACGTCACTTCACACTTCAGCAAGATAATGCCCGTCCACATGTTGCTCGTGTTGTGACAGATTTCCTGAGACAGCAGAACATTCCGGTACTCCTTGGCCAGCTGTTTCTCCGGACCTGTCCGCTATCGAGCACACTTGGGATGAAATGGAGCGACATTTACGTCAAGCCCAGAATCAGACATTGACGTTAGCTGATTTCGGACAAGCGTTGGTTCAGACATGGAACAACATTGGAACACGATACAGACCCAGTCGACAAATACACTGTGATATCATCTATCAAGACAGCAGAATTGGGAGTAGCTTGAATGATGCACAGTGTCTTGTGTGCGTAAAGATAGGTACCCAGGTGGGGAATCGAACAGGGTCTTCGGCGTGACGAGCGAACCCTTTCACCACTGGGCCTTGTCTGGGAAATCTAAACAATCAAGCAGAATATGCTTGAATAAGAATGGGTTGTATAGTGAATACATTGGCGGATCCAGAGGGGGTTGGGGCAAACACCCCACCCACACACCCCTATGGCAACCCCCCTTTCAAAATTCCTGGATCCGCCCATGGAATATAAGGCGTGTGAAACTGAGATAAACCGTGAATAATTCAGGTAATGGGGCGGGTGATCAATAATTCCTTCAAATTACACATTAACAAGAACTGATGCAGGCAGGCGTACAGCGAATGCTTAACATGGCAGCAGGGGGCGCATGGTCGTCATTTCTGCACATTATATATCTGTTGATCAGTATTTGACCTCTCTATGGCAACCATTGCCAGCACTCGATAGTGTAATGTGGCTGTAGGGACAGTCATAAATACATGTTAAGTCGCAGTCAGCAGCAAGAAGTGATTAAAGCTATGCTGTCTTGTCAGATGTCGAGTGATGGTGGAACAGTAAGCGTGATTTAGAGTTATCTGCCCCTGGTGGTTTTTTTACGAAAATGGCAGGCTTGAAGTTACACAAGACAAGTATTTTCCAGCAGACTTCGATAGTAACGTTATTTTCTTAATCAACGCAGACCTCAACAGATATTACATGTACATGTGCGCACAGGACCTGCAGCTATAAAATATAAATCATGACTAGCTGTTCCAGTGTTCCCGAGTACAGGAACACACCAGTCCAAGTTCCGCACAAAACGCCACCGACTTGAACATGAACGGTCACATTAAGCATACGTCATCATGTTAAAAAACACATCACTACATATTACTGGAGGGGGTTCATTTTCAATATACAAAAATCTGTTTCAAAATTATCCTACCAGAGTTGCCAGATGATTCAACCTGCCCTGATAGTTCTTACGAAAGCTGCTTGTTGAATGACAATTCGGTGAAAAAGTGTCTTAATCGATTGAGATGACAGCTTTTAGAAGACTGGCTGTAACTATATGTAAGACACAAGGGAGTGATCAACCCCTAAACAACATGTTTGAATATTTCACATTGATTATTCTTTGATCTTGTTTGGTCATGTACTAATTTCACAATTTAGTTTATAAATGCCGCTTTCTTGGTTCACCCCAACGGTTCAGTCTCGAAATCCCTTAGACACATTTTGTATCCGTCCCCACTGCACCACTACCACCTTCCTGTACACATCCGTTCCGTTGTATAATGTTATACGTATCTTATGACATAATTGTACATGTCGTCATATGTATAAACGCATAACATAGTAGCATATATACACACAAATAATTTAGACATAATGCTGGACAAATTCTTGTTTCCGGTTTGTTTTTTCACATATATATCGTTACTTGATTTGAAACCTATGATTGGATACCATGAGAAAGTCCAAGAACATTAAAGTTATCACTTGTTGACATCACTTGATCGAGAATAACGAACCTCGATTTTGCCTTTCATATCAGTATTTTTTCGGTGAATATATTTCTGATATTTCTTCAGAGTGCAGATATTTGTTCAGTCATTCTAAACACGCGCTGGTTCTGCTTCTTCGGAAAATCCTCGACACATTCATTAGTAAATACAGTTCAATCACGAAATCGCCATTTTAGTTTTACGCCAACCCAAATGAGTTACACAAAACCTATTATACATTATTTACCACTGAGGATTATACATGTATTTTCAAATGCGAACATAATAAATGAGGAATGCAAGATCTGAATTGAAATGCATACAGTTGAATGTTCTTTTGAACGGGCATAACATTAAATTGCCCAGTTCATAACACGAGGTCATTAAGCAGTCAGTCATCCAGCATAGCCGGCTATGCAGCGGCAAGTTGTGACTGCTGCTATGGAGAAACATTAATGAGACGTAAACACCTTACGAACTGTACTTAAAGTGCGACTTGCCATAGTGTGATATGATCCATGCTTAAAACTCTGTTTTTCATCAGCCTTTACTCTGTGGACATTTTAAGCAAATGCACTTGGTATACAGGCAATGAAATATGAAGCTAAACTGGAAATTCCTGCCTGATGCGTATGCCCAGTCACTTGGGGTACTTGTATTTATGCTTGGGACATGGACGTTCATAGCACGACATTTAAGCGTTAAATTACCGGATTCTCAATTATATTACAACACCGCTGCATCGTTAAAACACTATATATATGGTCTTGTATTTTTCCACTGAAATACATACTGGGTGTCCCTGCTAGTATGGATTGCGTTCATGGCTGCTGATTAATATACCGATGCTGGAGTGCACTGATCCAACTTTTATTGAAGACTTTCTCCTGGTGTTCGAAAATCTCGCCCACAGCAGACATCGCTTCATCATCATTTGCAAATAATGTTCTTTTTCATGTTTGGGAAGAGGCCAGTTAGACTACCAGTTGTCGGAGTTATACTTGTGTGGAAGCCGTGATGGATGAGTCGGTTAGATCGCTGACTTTGTGTGCTGTCGGTTAGGTGGGCCATTCTGGGAGTTTGAGTTCGAATCCCTGGATGAATTAAACCTCCGAAACTACTAGAACTAGACCTGTAAGACAGACGTGAGGCCCCATCTATAACACATATCAATCATTTGACCACAACCAGTCGGATACCATGCAGACCATTGTTTTACCTGAGCTTGCCGAAAAATAATCTCGGTATTTGTGAGAGTAAGTGAGTGAGTGAGTTGGGTTTTACGCCGCTTTTAGTAATATTCCATCAATATCACGGCGGGGGACACCAGAACTGGGCTTTACACATTGTACCCATGTGGGGAATCGAACCCGGGCGTTCAGCGTGACGAGCGAACGCTTTAACCACTCCGCCCCCTCGGTATTTGTGAGGAGTGGACGGGAAGTAAGCAACACCAACACTGATGTGTTGGGACACATTGTGGAGTTAACTAACCGGTGCTTGCTAACTTATGTTGTACGCATGAAGCCATGAGGACACAGAAGACACCGTTATGTTCGGCCCTGATGTCAGGTGTGTGTCAACACGATGAACGATGCGACGCCATAATATTAACGCTCGTTTATGTCATGTCATAGTGCTCTGTCGTATGTTCTGCGTGCGGCATGAGAGTCGCTTCTTGTGTCACGATGCCGTGATCTCCACAGATCCTTACATTCCATTCCGCTCTGGCACTTGTAGAAGGACTACAGTTCTCATTACATGATAATGCAAGTGCCAGACCACATACTCCACTGAAAGAGTTGTTGTGATCTTAGATTAGACTTAATGTCATGAGGTAGATGGCGTTGTCTGTCTCACTATCCCTATAGTTCTATACAATATCAAACAAGGCCAGGTTTTTCCACAGGTTCCATCTCACTTGGGCTCATTAGGTGACTGTTTCTGTCAAAAATACTAGTATATGTGTTCTGAATAAGCGATAGACTAATTCTGGAGCAGCACAGACAGATGTCAGTTCAGCACTGTAAAGTCGGTGCTTATATCGTAAGTGGGGGAAATGGCGAACGTGCGAGGGGAAGGCAATTCTGGGAGAGTTACGCTTGACCCCCTCCCGAAACCACCGAGTGGTTGAATAGAAACCCAGAGTGTTTGGCCTTTTGCTTATCTGCAACACACATAACCAACAGGAGGGACAGATAAACCGTAAGTAGGTTGTTATAGATAGTATTCATTTTCATTGTTTGAAGTTGATGGAGAACGTCTATCATCCCGGCAGAGAATTTTCACGACACTCAGCTTCTTGCTCATGTTGAATCGTTATCACTGTATGGTGTGGCTAACGTCACCGTTTTTTCAAACATACCGCTTCAACAGGCTTACCAACACAGACATCCTTAACATGTTCATATGCATATAATGAGAATATTTCATTGTTGTTGTTGTTTTAAAGAAGCTGTTGATAGACCATGAAGTGGTCAGAAGGTATTTGTAACATATGAGTTGTAACCACGTCATGAACTTTGACCGGATAGATATAAGACTCACTCTGGAAAGTGCAATATGAATGTATCGTTACACGGTAGAGATAGGAACATTGTCTCATTTGAACTTTGACCAGTGGAGCTATATGATAGCGGTAGGGGATTTATTACACTGACTGTCTCAATACAATAATATGTAATTAGTTATAGTATCATGTAGATATCTACTCACGTGGAGAGTGGAAGAAGTGACCGTACTCCGGACAGTAGCCAATCACTGCTTCGTACTCGTCATTTGTTGTGTGGAGGTTAGCCACGTACCCTGTAACAGAGGGATAACTCATGGTGATTGTTAATTACAGGTTCGCAACAGACAACAGAAGAATAAGGGATGTCATCAGTCAGTCGTCGTGGACACGTAGCTCCGAGCTCAACATAATCCATTTCACGACATGCGTCTCCCACTTAAGATCTGTTTACTATGTCGTTACTGCTTAGTTGAAGTCGAATGTAGCTATTGGCAACACACACATGCCAATATTACAGTTCACTGACTCCTGGATAAATGGAACATACCAACAGATACCTTGGTAGTGAATACTCAGAACTTATCAACAACGCACCTGTTCGCTTCACGTTCAGCACGCGCGACTTTCGACGAACGTTTATGTGAAACGTATCATGTTACCAAAAACTATGGTTTGCTTCGCCAAGTTAGATTACTGAACGTCATGATGGAGAATTGTAGACCTTGGCGTAAACAACAAACAAATACACATTGACCAGACAGTCGCATGGATTGCAGATCAAAAGTGCATAATTACGAGTATTATATATAACGTCATCGAGAGAATATCCAGATGCAACCATATGCAGGGACAGATTTGATTTGACGTGAAAGGGAAAGCAGCGCACGTGGTGACAATTGGTGGTCGAAATGAACATTGCAAAAAGTTATTATTTCCTACACCCGTTCTCTTCAAGGTCAATACATGTGTGACACGAGAAGAGGAAATAACATCACTAAGACTTTGTATCGTTCTTAAAAAGGTGTTTGAACTTCGATCGAAACAAAAAAATCTCAGTGAACATATAATCTTATCTATTGATGTAGTAAGATATATATTCTCAGTGTGGTCCATATGCATGTTTTTGTCTGATCGTTTTACACATGTATTGTTGGCCTCGTGGCCATCTATGAATAACATCCCTGGTATAATTCCAGGTAATGCCACATGGGATGTTGACGGAACCTATTTAACTGCACGTCTCATTATGGATGGAACATAGTATTATATGAACATATTCTGCCACGTACACGGACTTCTGGTATATTCTTCACTTCCGATGACCTTGACTACACGGTCAGTGACCTACGTCCACAGAGACAGCATCAGCCAATGTATAATATATTTAATTACGCCCACTGGTCCGTCCTTGAGGCTGGCAAGTGTCAAGTGACTGTTAGGAACTACGGTCCTCGATTAGGATTCTGTTCTGAAGCATTCTACAAATTGATTTGTGGCTGTCGTTCTCTCGCTTACTTGAATCAACGCCACGTATGTTTTCACTTTGCCGTGAATGTCGTCGTATGTTTCGATTGTGAGTAAAAACATTACGTAATTGATATGAATGCAGTGAAAACGATAATCTATGATTAGTTCCCAAGTGTAAATATTTGAACGCGACTGTTTGAAGTGTATCGTGAATCAAATGTAAGAAAAAGACAAAATTTCTGCTGTCGAAAGAATAAAAACGGCAAAGTTGAGTTATCACCGCAGTTCAGCAAAGCAAGTAATGGAACTGGTGAACAAAACCTTGTGGTTACTGACGCATTACATCATTTATTTCTTGTTTTTAAAGGCAACAACTTCAAAACTTCAAGCTGTCTCTCTCGTAATTTAGCTTGGTGACAACTGGAAAAGTGACAGCTGGAAACAATGTAATCTGCTGCCACGGTAATCTCCAAACTCTCCGCCGAGAAGCTGTATCGCTAACAACCGTATGACGTCATAATATGACGCATGCAGTTCGAATAGCTGTTTTGGGGTGCACTATGTACACATTTATTTTACTGACTTTCACTGCTTTATTTGAACTATTTTATACATTGCATCGCTTGCACACTCAACTTAAACATAATTAACAATTTCTAAAGCACTTTTAAGCTTGTCAGAATACGTTTCACTGATTTTCAAAATCCAGTTGAGAGGCAGACGCCATTTTGTTTACATATTAGTCAGTAGCGACCTTACCGATCTTCAAAATAAATCAAAATGATATTTTGTACATTTAATATGGCGGTAAGATGGATACGCTGTAAACTTCTCCCTCCGGTAATACGGTCTGATGTACGCCTCTTTGTAGCAGTGTTATCCCTCGCCTACCGGATCGGGGAACGCTACAAAAAGGCGTACACCAGACCGTATTACCCTCGAGAGAAGCATACAACTTATATTATCTTGACCTATTAACTGCGTTCTTTTCCTTCTTTTGAGTTTTACATATTTGCGTCACAACACCTAATATTCGTGAGTGAGGTGTTAAACAACGCACATAAGTGATAGTACGATATTGCCTACATCTATAGCAGCTCAGTGTCCACATGATTCCACAAAACTTATCATGAACATTATAAAAGTCTTTTGATATATTTTTACATTTTGTCAATTGGTCATCCATCCGCACATCATCCAATTCATTCATTCATTCATTCAGTGTGTTCTGGATATCTGGAAATAGTGTATTTTGTCGATTGACATATGACGTCCTGTATTGTTGATTGTGACGCGCAGACAATCATACTACTGGTAGCAATAAATAGGAAACTGCATTATTCCGCCACCCTTTACATCCATTACCCTCGACCTTCGGCTTCAAGTGACTTGTACATACACTATTCAACAGCGAGATGAGCCCCCTAATCAATAGATGCACGGTTCCAATGTAATAAAGCCTGGAGAGGTCACCTGTTCCAATGTAATAAAGCCTGTAGAGGTAACCTGTTCTCTTCACATGAGATCAGAGGTGGTTATCATCAAGACTTGGGAAATGTTCTCCCTTCATCCAGGGACTTCAATGGCTGACAGCCAGTAAAAGCGCCAGAAGAATGCAGACGTATTCAACGTCAGTAACTTCCTGATTGTAATGACGATAATGGATTTCCCGAGACATTACTGTCGTTAAAAGATAGTATCACTGGAATATATTGTCGGTCAACAGAAAGTATACACATCAAAAATGGATTACCCCCAAAACTAACAAATCTTATCAGATGGTTGATAGGATGACAATAGTCCCCGACATACCAACAACTTAAGGCTCCAAACTAAAATATCCGTATAAAATCCATCAACATAAAGGCGATTGTTTCATTTTCAGCTCACCACCAAACATACTTGCTACATTTTCTTTTGCCTGGCAGTTTAGGAGTACATTATAAAATACCCGTCACTCCTGATGGGAATATGTATTCTTGTTGATCATTTACCTATAGAGTTTCAGTAATACATATAGTATGACCAGAAATTATTGAGAATTTTAGGAATATGTTTAATTGGATTTCTAGTATAAACAACCTTGACCAGCTATCAAGTGCTTGGTTTCATTCAAGAGAGACAACTCCGTTAATCCTTTTTCATTAGTTTGTGAAGAGTTATCCCCTTTGATTACTTGCTAGCAGACGACATTTTCAGTGATCCTCAGTATGGATGATTTAGAGAAGATGAAGTTGATTTTAGAGTATTATAACAAGGACATCAGATCAGCTAAAGTGATTTCAAGTAGAACAGGCATCCCTTTGTCCACTGTTTATCGTGTTTTGAAAAATATTGCAAATGGATATGGCATTGAGCACCAGGGAGGCGCAGGTAGGCCCAGAAAATTGACTGTCGGTGACAGGAGGCGGCTTGGTATTCTTGTTTCTAAAAACAAACGAAGGAGTTAAGAAAACTTCAGGCTGGATATGATTGATAGAGGAACTGTGGCTGTCTGTAAGGAGACAATTAGAACTGAGCTGCATGCAATGGGTTGGCAGAAAAGTCGAAGAATTCCATCACCGATCATGAAACCAAAACAAAAGGAGCGAAGGTTGAACTGGTGCTTACAGCATAGAAATTTTAACTGGGACAATGTGATTTTCTCAGATGAAAGTTCTGTGTGGCTGTTTCCTAATACACTGAAATTCTGGACCAAACAAACTGAAAAACCTTTGTATCAGCGCCCAAAGTACAGTCCGAAATTTAACATGTGGGGTGGCATATCTGTGTTAGGGGCAGCGCCCCTCTGTGTATTGAAGGGAATATGAACAGTGAGCGGTACACAGATATTCTCGAGGGACATTTACTTCCATCTGCTCACGTGTTCTATGGAAATTTTTGGATTTTCCAGCAGGACAACGACCTAAAACATCGTTCAAAGCATTCACAGGCCTGGTTTCGGACCCAAAATATGACATTATTAGATTGGCCAAGCTATAGCCCTGACCTAAATCCAATAGAAAATGTTTGGGGACTTATGAAGGAAAGTGTCAATAAGAAAAATCTGACAAATATTGCTGAAATGAAAGAAGAGGTGGTCCGATATTGGGACAGCATGGACCACGACTTTCTAACTTCTTTGATCAGTAGTATGCCCCGCCGCATTGAAGCCTGCATTGCTGCCCATGGTGACTTGACAAAATACTAACTGTTCACCTGTCTTTGAATCTGGAGTTATGTTCTGCTAATATTCACATTTAATACGTGAGTACTGAGTGAATTTTTTTATAAAAATTACAATCTTTAAATCTTTTGAATGAGAGAGTGGGGGTTTGGGCACGAAAGCTGCACATACGTGGAAAATCGAACATGTGCCAAGTACAAGACGAGCAAACACTGTAACTGGCTGACCACCCACGTCTCAACAATATACCAACACCTGGCACTGAGGGGTATTTATACAATTCTCAGTTACAGTATTATACAATATTTTTGTTCAGTTGCAATTAGTTGCAAACGTTTTCACGCAGAACACCACAGGCGTTCGTCAGTCACGTAAACCGATGAAAATGTTGTATTTACTTCGGTTACCATGACAATTAGAACTTTCCATCCAGAGAAAAATTGTACATTCAACAGACCTTACCAGTTAATACATGGTACTCTGCGAAAGAACGATGTTTGAAGACATTGGATTACCTGAAACTCAAAGCGTTTGCAAATGGTTGATATTATACAGGAAAGTCAAGAACAGGCAGTAAATGTTAGATGTAATGTGGCCAAGAACTGAAGGACCAGCTATACTTGTAGTAGTTTTCTACACGCGGTCATGAATGAGATCTTG